CCTTCCGAGGAGTGGCTGGTGGGTTTGAACCGCCAGCCATCTGGTTAGCAGGCAAGTGTCTTAGCCACTATGCTACCAGAACTCCCTTAATAAAGCATACATAGAAGGAAATTAACATTTTATTTGGATATGTATTCATACTCATAGCAACCTTGTAGGACAGAGGATTACCCCATAGGATTTCCAAGACTGTAATCTTTATGGAAGCAGACTGTCCCATCTTTCTCCCACGGAGCAGGTGGTGGGTTTGAACTCCCGACCTCTTGGTTATCAGCTGAGCCCTTAACCACTGGGCCACGAGGGCATAATCGACATTGACTCAATGGCAGTGGGTTTTGTTTTGTTTTGTTTTCTATTGTCTCTACATGCTAAATTTTTCTTACTGTTTTTTATCTTTTTTTATTTGATAAGTTAAATATTGCTTTTGAAATTTGCAGCCTTTTATTACATACTTTTAGGACATTTCTTTTGTTGTCATGACATTAATAGTATTAGATTGCATACATTACTCTACTTGCATTTTTTCTATTTAGGTGATGAAATAAATCTTTGAATCACTTTTTTCCCCAATAGCTTGTATTTTAAGTTTCTACGCTAGGAACCCTTAGATATGTAGCTTTTGACGCTAACCCTTACAGCAGTGATTTGGAACACAAGGGTAGGCAAGGGTATCTCTCTATGTGTGGTGACCTATTAACATTTTACTTTATATAAGAGAAAACACGTTTATATTTGCAAACAAGGCTATTATCTCATAGTTGAGAAATTTTTGTCTATAGTCTTCTGGACTACCACATCCCCCCCCTTTTTTAATAGAGTTATGGGGTGGGCATAAAAAGACAATGGTCAGTTTTTCTTTAAGAGAAAAATAAAGAATATGAGAATGATCCTGTTACTTAATGGTAAGTTTGTAAGTAATGAGGAAGGAAGTTGGGAGAGTTTGTGCTTGAAGGATGTTTAAGAGATGGAACTAGCTACCATGTTGTTGTTGTTAGGTGCCACTGAGTCATCTCCGATTCATAGCGACCCTGTGCACAGCAGAATGAAACACTGCCCAGACTTGTGCCAGCTTCACTATCCTTGCTATACCTGAGCTCATCATTGTAGCCACTGTGTCTGTCCATCTCGTTGAGGACCTTCCCCTCCTTCATTTGCCCTCCACTTTACCAAACATGATATCCTTCTCCAGGGAATGGTTCCTTCTGACAACATGACCAAAGTAGGTGATACGAAGTCTGCCCATTCTCGCTTCCAAGGGGCATACCAGCTGCACTTCTTCCAGGACAGATTTGTTAGTCCTTTTAGCAGACCATGGTACTCTTAGCATTCTTCTCCAACACCACAACTCAAAAGCATCAACTTTTCTTTGGTCTTCCTTATTCGTTGTCCAGCTTTCACATGTATAAGAGGTGATTGAAAATACCATGGCTTGGGGTAGCTGTATTCTAGTCTTGAAAGAGACATCTTTTCTCTTCATCACTTGAAAGAGGTCTTTTGCAACAGATTGGCCTAATGCAATATGTCACCTGATGTCTTGACTGCTGTTTCCATTGGTGTTGATTGTAGAACCTAGTAATATGAAATCCTTGACAATTTCATTCTTTTCTCCATTTATTGTGAAACTGTTTATTGGACCAGTTATGAGGATTTTTGTTTTCTTTCTGTTGAGGTGTAATCCATACTACAGGCTGTAGTCTTTAATCTTCATCAGTAAGTGCTTCAAGTCATCTTCATTTTCAGCAAACGAAGTCATATTGTCTGAGTATCGCAGATTGTTAATGAGTCTTCCTCCCATCCTGATGCCATGTTCTTCTTCATATAATCCAGCGTCTTGGATTCTTTGCTCAGAATACAAGTTGAATAAGTATGGTGAAAGGATACAACCTTGACACACTCCCTTCTTGATTTTAAACCATGCAGTATCCCCTTGTTCTGTTTGAATGACAGCATCCTGGTCTATGTACAGGTTCCTCATGAGTACAAACAACTATTCTGAAATTCCAGTTCATCTCAATGTTATCTATAATTTGTTATGATCCACACAATCAAATGCTTTTGCATAGTCAGTAAAGCATAAGTAAACATCTTTCTGGTATTCTTTGCTTTCAGCTAAGATCCATCTGACATCAGCAGTGATATCCTTTATTCCGTGTCCTCTTCTGAATCCAGCTTGCTTTTCTGGAAGCTGACTGTCAATATAATGCTGCAACCATTTTTGAGTTATCTTCAGTAAGATTTTACTTGCATGGGATATTAATGACGTTGTTCGATAATTTCCACATTCTGTAGGATCACCTTTCTTTGGAATGGGTACAAATATGGATCTCTTCCAGTCAGTTGGCCAGGTAGCTGTCTTCCAAGCCTCTTGGCATAACCGAATGAGTGCCTCCAGTGGGGCATCTGTTTGTTGAAACATCTCAATGAGTATTCCATCAACTCCTGGAGACCTGTTCTTCAGCAATTCCTTCGGTGCAGCTTTGACTTCTTCCTTCAGTACCATTGGTTCTTGATCACATGCCACCTCCTGAAATGGATGAATATTGAACAGTTCTTTTTGGTAGAGTGACACTATGTATTCCTTCCATCTTCTTTTGATGTTTCCTGCATCTTTCAATATTTTGCCCATAGAATCTTTCAATATTGCAACTCAAGGCTTACACTTTTTCCTCAGTTCTTTCAGTTTGAGAAATGCTGAGCGTGTTCTTCCCTTTTGTTTTCTAACTCCAGGTCTTTGCACATTCATTAATAATAATTGACTTGGTCTGCTCAAACTGCTCTTTGAAATCTTCTGTTCAGCTCTTGTATCTTGCTTAGCTACTCTCTGCTCAAGGGCAAGTTTCAGAGTCACTTCTGACATTTCTTTTTGGTCTTTTCTTCCTTTCTTGCTTTTTAATGACCTCTTGCTATCTTCATGGATGGTATTTTTGATGTCATCCCACAGTTCTTCTGGTTTTTGGTCATCGGTGTTCAGTGCATTAAATCTATTCAGGAAGGATATTATCAAGGTCATGTTTCGGCTTTCATGGACTTGTTTTAATTATCTTCAGTTTGAATGTGCATGTGAGCAGTTGAAGGTCTCCTCCACAATGAGCTTTTGGCCTTGTTTTGGCTGAAGATGTTGAAATTCTCCATCTCCTCATGCCACAGATGTAGTCAATCTGATTCCTGTATATTCCATCTGATGAAGTCCATGTGTATAATCGTTGCTTATGCTGTTGAAAAAAGGTATTTGCAATGAATAAGTCATTGGTCTTGTAAAATTCTATGATGAAATCTCCAGCGTTACTTCTGTCACTAAGGCTATATTTTCCAACTACTGGTGACTATTTGTTTCCAACTTTTGTGTTCCATTCACCAGTGATAATCAACACATCTTGATTGCATGTTCAGTCAATTTCAGACTGCAGAAGTTGGTAGAAATCTTCAGTTTCCTCATCTTTGGTTTTGGTAGTTGGTGTGTAAATTTGAATAATAGTAGTATTAACTGGTCTTCCTTGTAGGCATATGGATATTATCCTATCATTGACAGCATTGTACTTGAGGACAGATCTTGAAACACTGTTTGTGACAATGAATGCCCCTCCATTCCCCTTCAATTTGTCATTCCTGGCATAGTAGATCATATGGTTGTCTGAATCAAAATGGCCAAAACCAGTCCATTTCAGCTCACTAATGTATAGGATATCGATCTTTATGTGCTCCATCTCATTTTTGACAACTTCCAATTTTCCTAGATTCATACTTCGTACATTCCATGTTCCAGTTATTAATGGAGGTTTGGCTCTGTTTCATTTTGAGTCACGCCACATCAGCCAATAGAGGTCCCGAAAGCTTTACTCTATCCGTATTGTTAAGATCATCTCTACTCTGAGGAGTCAGCTCTTCTTAGTCAAATTTTAAGTGCCTTCTGACCCTATGGGCTCATCTTCCGGCACTTTATCATACAGTATTTCAGGACTATTCATAAAGTTTTCCAGTAATATATCTGACCATGTTTCACTGCTATTCATAAGGTTTTCAATGGCCAATTGTTTGAGAAGTGGGTGGCCTTTTCCTTCTTCCAAGTCTGTCTCAGCCCAGAAGCTATACTGAAACCTGCCTACCATGGGTAACCCTGCTGGCATTTTGCAGCTATGTGGCATAGCCTCCAGCTTCATAGCAACACGTACATCACCACAGGATGACAAACTGACAGACAAGTTCGTCTCCCTTAGTTGTTTCTAACCCCTCTACACCTGCCTACCTTGGGCAACAGCCTTAAAATAGAGCTGCCCATAAGTGAAAAGCAGCCCCTGAACCTTGGCCCACCTGCCTCAGGCACCGGCCTTAATATAGAGTCATACCCAAGCGAAAAGCAGCTTGCAAGACCCAGACCCGCCTACCTCAGGCCCCAGCCTTAATATGGAGCCCAGCTACCATAGGGAATGGGAAAAGGAGGATGTGTATCAATCAGGATAGGCTAGGTTCTTGGCTGTGTTGTGGTAACAACTTCAAAAATCTCTGTCCCAGCACAAGTTTGTTTCTTGCTCACGCTACACGTCCAGTGAAGGTCAACGTGGAGTTTCTTCCTAGTAATCAGACTCCCAGGCCAGTGGGACCCATCTCCACAGATGACTCTCTGATTATTTCAACACAGAGGCCCAGGGATGGACAACATGGAGAACCATGTGTAAGCTCTTAAAAGTTTATCCCAGAAGCGACACAAGCATTTCTAGTCATACCT